TCATTTTCACGGTAATGGATGCTGAGGCGGGGAAAGGTTTTCCAGCCTTGTCCGTAGTCTGTACAGTGAAATTATAAACTGAATATGGATTCATATTGGGTAGTATGTATTCTGGCTTTGTCACCATAGCCTTGTCCTGATATGTTTCATTGCGGACGATGACCTGATACTTGTCACCGCACTGACTTGAATCAGTTGGTGGCTTCCAAGACACACGAATTGTTGTGGGATTCACAGCGGAAGCAGTCAGGTCTCTTGGCATCGGCATGTCTGCAGAAAATAACGTAAATAAACCGTCAAATTTCAAACATCGGACAACAGAACCTTTCATTTGTCGGGCGAACCTCTCCGGTCCGATCTATCGCCTTTTTGATAGTCCTAACACTAAGAAGCTGCATTCGCACACATGGAATTCGCTTAACATTTATAAGGCTTGTTTTCTTCAACTGCCACCTCTCAATAGACGCCTCAACCGAGAGTGGATGCCTGAGCTTACGTGGGATACAGCAGACGCCTCAGCAATGAACGGCACATTTCACCCCCCGCCCCCTTGGAAATATGCATTTTCAGTTAAGTAGATTTCTATAGAGTTGCAGCTGGTAGGTATACTTGTGACTGCTTGTTGGCAACTTGTAAATCTTCCAGGTTATTCCGCACTGATCGGCAGACCTCAGCGCAAATATCCCTATCAACTTCGTGACTGAAAATGAAACTCTTGATTTGGAGTGCTTTGCTACACCCTTGCACATGACCTAGTCTGGACATTCAGCGAAAGCGAATAGCAAGCCAGGTGCGTGTGCGGATCTTTCCCTACCAACCACTGCAGATGACCCTCGCTAGGTTGGTATTACTGCAGGGATGTAGTATGTCAACAAATTAGAGGTAATTTAGCGGTCAAAAAAGTAAATTCGAGAAACCTTTTGTGACCTAAGGAGAGCGTACGTGAATAACCAGATGCCCTTATTCAACATCCCTATCATATTTACGTGTTGGAAAATTGCGACCACTTCATCAGTTTTTGGTGCTTGCTTGCTTCTTGAGATTAAAGACAATCAAGGGAGCACATATATGCGCATCTATTCTCAAGTAGAATTTTTGACACCCAAATCAGCAAAAACTATTGCCTATCTCCCATACTTTTTTAAAACCACGAGGGTATCTAAGCGAAAGAACCAAGACCAGCACGAAACATTTGTGGTGCCGCCTCCCAGACAACACTGGATGCAGCGGAAATAATCTAAATCACCCGCAACGTAATTTTAATTGTAACTTACCACCAGCTGGCATTTGTAAGGAACCGAATACTTTAGCGGGGAAAGGCTTGTCACTCTTGTCAAGAGCCTGGAGGGTGAAATTGTAAACGCCAGATGGCTGCAGGTTGGATATTGTCGCCTCTGTAGTCACCACCTTATAGCTCTTGGTGTAGGTGCTATTGTTGATAGTGAGCAGGTACTTATTCCCCCATGGCTGTGATATAGTTGGGGCCGTCCATTTCACATGGATTGTAGTTGGGCTCACTAGCATGGCGGTGACATCTTCTGGAATTGGAATTTCTGCAGCGAAAGAATAAATAAACCGTCAACATTTGAACAGAGGCCGATACGTTCTGTTGTATTTTTAAAGCAAATGCCTGGGCAATTTCACAGAAACGATAGTCTTCTTGAAATGCTCAGTACTTCATTACTGAAGTAATATTCGAAAGAAAGCAATGGATATTCAACATAAGATGATGCATTTCAGGGCTTAATTCTTATCATTTTCGCAACTGAGCCACATGCTTTACATAATTTTCGCCTATTAATTTATATGTAAATTGAGCAAGGCAAAAGGAAATCATACAAGCCAGGGATATTGTTCTACCGTTGAGAGTTAAACACACTTGCTATAGCGCTGTCGATATGGAGACAAATTAGATGATGTATGCGGTAAAAAGTGAACGGCTTTTTCCAATATATCCTACTTTGTATGCAACTTGTGGTAATCTTGTGCCATCTACTGTCTCATAGAGTCAACGCCATATGTTCAGCACACTCCAGATATCTAGAGTTTGCGAAAATACCTACATGGCACCAGCTGCTAATGCCATTGTACTGAGATCAAGGGCAAGCTAAGAAGTGTACCTACGTAAACGTAAGCTCTATCACGGGAGTAGTGACGGGCCTCACATCATTCTAGTAATATTTATTAATTAAACACTGTGATTATAATGATGTTTCTTAGTCGAAAGAAGATCTGATTGCCAATAAACCAACGGATATCGTCTACGCTCTAAGGAATGCGACGGTGTAAGGCGAAATTTAATGTGAACTAAAATGCAGCTTAATGCTGTCGCGTTTCAGCCAGACAACACTGCCTAGAGTGCAACGCAGTGCACAGTAGAGTTAATTGCAACTTACCACAGGCTGGCATTTGAGCGGTAATTATTGCTGTAACGGGGAAAGGCTGGCCATTCTTGTCAAGAGCCTGGAGGGTGAAATTGTAAATGGAAGAGGGCTGCAGGTCGGATATTGTTTCCTCTGTCTTCGGTAGCTTATAGCTCTTGGTGTAAGTCTTATTGAAGATGGTGAGCAGATACTGTTGTCCCCATGGCTCTGAAGTAGTTGGTGTTTTCCAGGCCAGACGGATAGTTGTGCAACCCAGAATTGAAGCAGTGAAATCTTTCGGAATAACCGGCACACCTGCAAGGAAACGGTAAATCATCCGTTATAGGTAGCCATTTTTTACTATTGCCTGTGAAGGGACGGATTTCAAAAAGTCAGGGCAATAAAGTTATCGTCCCAGCGATCACTTTTACTCCTTCTCAACAGCACCGGAAAGTTCTTTATCGTCTAAAGGCCTGTCCAGTTAGATATTAGCTCACCTACCGCTTCTTAGTTAGTCCCGACACAATGTACGAACATAGATGCTCGAGTTCTAGATAATGCATGTTTACTGAAATTATGAGAAAGGCTTGCTGACAAGCTGAAGCAATCGTGCAGCGTCATATCAAATAGGTGGCCTGCGTGCAGGCCAATTGCAAATTACCATAAGACGGCCTTCGCACGGGAGCGACTACGACATCGGGAACCTTTGTGCCATTGGCCCAAACACTTTGTACGATGATCTTGGTAATTTTAGAAGTGTCCAAGCCGCTAGCGATGATCCATGTGTCCTTCGTTGTATAGGTCTTCTTGAAGTCTGGACCCAATATGGTAACGTGGTACTCGTCTTTGAATTTATCGGCAGGACTTGGTTTAGTCCAGCTCACTTGAATTGCGGTGTCGTTCAGTTGCGAGGCAGTCAAATCTCCCACAGTTGGCACAACTGCAGACAAAATAAGGAAGGTTCATTAGGGACTTTAAGTGCAGTCTGTCATACTGGCCAGACATTAATTAATTTTTCTACAATGCTTGTTGAATTGATGCATGCGAATTTGGGCCATGCCTCTACAGGAACAGTTCCAACATCATCTGCGTTGTTAGAATGTGGCGACTAAGAAGCACCTAGGAAGCCAATGAACTTATATATTCTTCTGAACTTATATATATATATATATATATTCTCTATCACAATTCACAGGTCAGGACTTGGTCGGTGCTTAGCAGTAGTATATACAGATGTGCTTTCTCAACTTCAGATTAGGCGGCTATAGTGTAAACATGATTGTAGCAGCAATTATCCATCCATGAATCTGCCCCACAACCTAACGAAATTACCTCCCCTACCCCTCCCCCGCCCCTCCCCTGACGCACGAACCTCTACACGCCGACCTCGCCATTCGGGCGAAACGTATACGATGAATTTTAGTTAGACTACACTACCTAACCCTGTCCAACTGTACAGTTTTTATTACCCTGCAAATGTTTTTGCCTGATGACGATATGTTTGCCAACTTGACTTCTCAAATTAATTATGATTAGTTGAAGCAAGCATGCTGAAGCAGATTTGGCTTGAACACATTTTGAACGATGCACTAATGCCCATGTCCAAGTTTTTCATTTCCAGCATTGAACTGAATTGAACCCGCGTGGTTTGAATTTTCGAGCAAAACGAAGGCAAA